GGACTTTTCTTGATATACATTTTTTAGATGATATGTAATATATATGAATTGTGTTATTATATAGTTTGCACTTTTTGGTTATTTGATTCGTGATTTAAAGGGACGGCGTTTTTCTTTGTCAAGTGCATGAGACTCCAGCATTTGGGTGCAGGCGGAAAACAGACAGAAGTCCAGCCCTGTTGCCGGCAGCCTGTAAAAAAAGGGCTGTTGCATCCGGTGCACTGAGTGGTACGGACATTTCAGGCAGTATGCGCCGAGGTACCAATGTACAGAATGCAGACTGCTTGCATTCATCCCTGGGCACATACTGCTTGACACATAAGTAACGCTCGGTGCAGACGCAGCAACTGTCAGACCCTCATAGAGCTGCTGCCACCTAATTGCCTAGTGGGGCTTAATGAGTTGCTGACCTTAAACAGGCATGCAGTTAGTGAAGGCTGCGGAGGGTGAACTCCTGTTCTGCATTTCTATTCTAGGTCAGTGACTCATTAGGTGGAGAATGTTAATGGTCATGAAACCTTTAGCTTTTAAACCCAAGACAGCAGTGCCAACTTTCATACATCTATCTTTACAGATTCCACTTAAGCCCCGCCTCTTTCTAATCAATCTGCACATGGCTGTAGTAATGAGAATAGCTTGTGAAACACATTGATGTCACCTACAGTGATATTCTAGGATACTGATTCCTAAAGGTGCCTCCACATGACTCTTTTTCTTTTTGGAATTTTTATTTATTTATTTATTCATTCATTTATTTATTTAAAGGGGGTGATGTATGTTTGATGGAATGAAATACCCCCAACCCCAAAAACACACAAGCATGCAGTAAATTATGTCTAATATAGTATGTATAAAATAGTATATACTACAGTATATTGAATACACATTGTGACCCAAAATACATTGACAGGTGCCATTCAAGGCTTCACTGGGTCCTCCTATGTAGCAACCACTTGGAGTGCAGACAAGGACAGAGCTCGTCCCAGCTGTAGACATCTAATGGAAAAGGGAAAAGTCATAGACGTCGCACATCTCTGCAACACCCCATAAGATGGTGTATGACATCCTCAACCTGGGCTTCAACCAGGCTATGCCTCCATCATGTTTCACTCCGACCACAGAGCTTACTCATGACTAAGCTCTGTGGGTGGAGTAACATGCGTTGGGGCGTGGTCTGGTTGGAGCCCAGGCTGAGGCTGTAGTACAAAGAAGAGATTTGTGAAAAGAGATTCACAAGAAAGCGGCTACATTATGGACAGAATGCGATACTCAGAGAAATTTCCAAAAATTATGCTTTATTAAAGCATAATTTTTGGAAATTTCTCTGAGTATCGCATTCTGTCCATAATGTAGCCGCTTTCTTGTGAATCTCTTTTCACAAATCTCTTCTTTGGTCTGCATATTTTTTGGCTACTGGATGGAAGCCATATATTGGGTGATACAGTAATTTAGAACCTCTAAATCTATCTTTTACTAACTGAGGCTGTAGTACACCTTCTTACGGGCTTTTGCAGAGATGTGCGACTTCCAGGAATTTTTCTATTTCCATATTGAAATTACATAACGTGTCCATAGGTGTTGTATTTTCTATATGTACTGATCCAAAAATATTGAATTATTTTAGCAGAATGCAGTTGTATGCATCCAAAATCACAAAGAAATTGGGGCATTTACATACTATTAGGCCAGCTATAGACAGATTGAAATGTATCCGGTTCAGTAGGAACTGGACAAATTTCGATCCATCTATGGGCAGGTTGTACTGAAGTCAATCTATCGATCAAATTTGGCACAACCAGCTTGTCTGTTTTTTTTAGTGCAATCACTGCTGCTGGCTATAGTTGCCAGCGTTAATCATTGTATTCTGATGGCTTGGAAATCTCCCGCTGTCAGTATATGATAGCAACGTGGGAGGGATTCCCCTGTAAACACTGACTTTGTTAATGGGGAGTCAGGCGATTTTCTTTCTTCCCACCCATAGTTGAAGGAAAGAAAATGTTATGGCTTGCTTATACTTCAGGCCATAGATTGAGGGATGGAAATGGAGAAGGACTTGCTCCTGGACAGGGACAAGGACTGGAGATGTTATTCTAAACTGTCTCTGTAGGTCTTTCTTTTTTGTACAAATTTTGTATTAGCTGAAAAGTGATATTTTTGTTCTATTTTCCGGAAGAAAGGAAAACAGTCAGCACCCGCTGTAAACTTGTTGGAATATATTTTGATACAGATACAAGAACTTCCAATAATCGTGCGCTCCATATTAGCCTTTAAGGAAGACCTACCTACGGCTGTCTTCTCCAGGCCATGGCAGGATACATGTCAATCAGGACCAACATATGCCTGGCCACTGAATCTTCTAGAATTTGGTCCTATTTCTGGTGATGCTCACACGTCATTCTCTAAATAAGAGTCATCAGTTGAGGTTTGGCAACAACCGAGTGTGGCTTCATACCAAGTTATTGTGACTGCATACAATAAAAGTTAATTAACATTAATTAAAGCCATCACAATATTTTTTAAACTGTTGACTGTATCCATCAAACAATTTTGCAAAACTGTTAACAGTAAGGCCTGCTTGCAATCCTAAACGCGCAGTTCAGTTAGTATCCCACTTGCCTGACCTGAAAATATACTGTGTGAAACCATGCAAGCACAGTGCTGGACTCCCTCATGGACTATTGGCCTTATTCAATCAATATTTGTTGTTCTTACAGGATAGGTTCACTTTTGGAATAATACATGATACATGGTCCACTTGTATTAAGCACAGGGAGAACAGACTTTTTGCAAAAAGTGTCTTGGCTGGAATTTGGACCAAAGACCTTAGTGCTGCAAGTGCTGACCACTAAGCCACTGGTTAATAGGTTGCTTACAGCCATCACATTTAAACCTGCCTTGGATTGAATCTGGTTGGTGATACAGCAGGCAGATCAAAAGAAAGTCATACAGCACAGATTTAGGAAGCGGACCCTTACAGGATGTCTTCAACTTACAAGCCGACCTCAATGCTCTGTGTAATTGGGCAACTGTGGCAAATGAGGTTTAATGTTGATAAATGTAAGGTTCTGCTATTGGGGGCTAAGAATATGCATGCATCATACATACTAGGGGGGGGTACAACTGGGGGAATCAATGGTGGAGAAGGATCTGGGAGTTCTGGTAGATCACAAGCTTAATAATGGCATCCAATGCCAAGCTGCGGGTTCTAAAGCAAGCAAAATCCTCTCTTGTATTAGGAGAGGTATAGACTCCAGAGAGAGAGATATAATTTACCCCAGTACATATCATTAGTAAGACCTCATCTGGAATTGCAGTTCAGTTTTGGGCACCAATTCACAAATGGAACATTGGGGAACTGGAGAAAGTACAGAGAAGGGCAACCAAACTGATAAGAGGCATGGAGGAGCTCAGCTATGAGGAAAGATTAGAGGAACTGAATGTATTCTCTCTTGAGAAGAGGAGATTAGGGAGGGGATATGATCTCCATGTATAATACATAAGGGGGGATATGATCTCCATATATAATATATAAGGGGGGGTATGATCCCCATGTATAATACATAAGGGGGGATATGATCTCCATGTATAATATATAATGGGGGATATGATCTCCATGTATAATACATAAGGGGGATATGATCTCCATGTATAATACATAAGGGGGGATATGATCTCCATGTATAATACATAAGGGGGATATGATCTCCATGTATAATACATAAGGGGGGATATGATCTCCATGTATAATACATAAGGGGGGATATGATCTTCATGTATAATACATAAGGGGGGATATGATCTCCATGTATAATACATAAGGGGGGATATGATCTCCATGTATAATACATAAGGGGGGATATGATCACCGTGTATAATACATAAGGGGGGGTATGATCTCCGTGTATAATACATAAGGGGGGGTATGATCTCCGTGTATAATACATAAGGGGGGGATATGATCACCATGTATAATACATAAGGGGGGATATGATCTCCGTGTATAATACATAAGGGGGGGTATGATCTCCGTGTATAATACATAAGGGGGGATATGATCTCCATGTATAATACATAAGGGGGGATATGATCTCCATGTATAATACATAAGGGGGATATGATCTCCATGTATACTACATAAGGGGGGATATGATCTCCATGTATAATACATAAGGGGGGATATGATCTCCATGTATACTACATAAGGGGGGATATGATCTCCATGTATAATACATAAGGGGGGATATGATCTCCATGTATAATACATAAGGGGGGATATGATCTCCATGTATAAATACATCAGTGGTTCATATAGTGAACTCGGTGTAGAGCTATTCACCCTGAGGTCACAGAGGACAAGGGGGCACTCTTTACATCTGGAGGAAGAGAGATTTAATCTCCAAACACAGAAAGGTTTCTTCACACTGAGAGCTGTAAATTTGTGGAATAGACTCCCTCAAGAGTTTGTTCTGGCCAGCTCAGTGGATTGCTTTAAAAAAAAGTCCTGGATTCTTTCTTAGATACACAGAATATAACTGGATACTAACATTTATAGGTAAAGTTGATCCAGGGAATATCCGGTTGCCTCTCGGGGGATCAGGAAGGACATTTTTTCTCTGCAGGAGCAAATTGGATCATGCTTTGCTGGTTTTTTTTGCCTTCCTCTGGATCAACTGTGGGTGTAGGATTATAATTTTTTTTTTTTTTTTTTTTAACTTTTGTCTTTTTTTCAGCCAGACTAACTATGTAACTATGAAAGGTGGACCCAACCACCACACATGTGAGGAGCTCTGTGGAATCTGTTTTCATCAGATAACTTAGGACATAGATTCAAGTCAATTGTGTGTTTTTTTTTTTTTCCAACAGATGAAGCTTGTCCGTTTTCTGTTGCTGTTATTTTGAACACCGTCTCATTTTAGAACAATACCCAGCATTTATTTTCATAAAAATTTTCTTTAATGCTACAATTTACATATTTATGTTGCTGTCATTGCCTCTTCTAGAGATACCTGCTTCCGCTAATCATCGGCAGCAAGGAGAGCCGCAAGCAGCTGCAGCGCATTGAGTCCAGCGTCTTGGAGTTGAGTGGCAACGTCACGCAGACAGGTAACGATTAACGACTCCATCCCAGCTTCGCGCACACACCAAGCGCGCCCCCCCCCTCCTCTTCGCACACCCTCATAGACATGGTGACTTCATTTATCTGCTCACAAAATCTGTTCACATTTGCAAATGAAGACGCCGTCATTTCGGTTTAATTTAAAATTGCTTGTTTACTGTCGCTGCGGCCTCAATTAATTATGTTTTTACGGAAAGGATCCCAACCTCGGAATATTAATAAGGGGACTGGAGTGACAGCCCTTTAGTGTAATGGGAGGTTTTGGCTTCAGACTCCTCGGTGTGACAGCAAGGTGTGTGCACATGTGTCAAGATGTGGGAATAGTCTGTGCTGTATTACAGCCACTGCTAGGTCTTCCAATACACTGCAAGATGCAGCAGTGTGACTTCGAGAAAGGGGCCAGGGGTTCTAGATGCATCAAATAATTAAATGAGTTGCAAGATGTAGCCTAATAATGTAAACATTAAAGAAGAATTCCAGCATTACACAAGCAAAGGCAAATGAAAGTATAAAATCATACTTGAAAATTTTATTATTATTATACAGGATTTATATAGCGCCAACAGTTTGCTCAGCACTTTACATTATAACAGGAGACAATACAGCAACAATACAGTTCAATACAAGAGGGTTAGGAGGGGCCTGATCCTGGGAGCTTACAATCTAAGAGGGAGGGATAGAAGATGAAAAATGAAAATAGTACCACTTAGATGCCCCCCAAACCTATACTGTTCGAATCAGCATGTAGATAGACTGGTGTAAGACACAGGAACGGCTTGTCAGTCTCCAGTACACTTCAACAAAATGGCGGCCATTTACACACACACACCCAACTCCCTGTTGCTTGAATATGAATAAAATGGGTAAAAGATGGCTTTGGCTCCTGTTCTCCACCTGTAGAGAACTCCTCAGTCGTATTTTGCCCCTTTTGGAGCTTTATCCTAGAAGGCAAAATGCATCCGAGGACTTCTCTACAGGTGGAAAATGGGAGCTGAAGCCATCTTTTACCCATCTCATTCACACTGATGCCACAGGGAGTCACTGTCTGTGTGCAGCCAACATTTGGAAGTTTATGGAGGTTTTCCACTCATTAGTAAAAAGTGTCACATTTAGACACCTTGCTGTGTCATACAGATCCTGCCTGTCATTGGACAAAAATGTTTAAAATTCGAAATTTTCTGAAGAGAGAATGCTTCACCAAGCATATATATACACACATATACATATGCATACACACACTATATATATATACACACTGTGTTTTCATTTTTTATATATAATACAATTATCTTTCTTCTTTTTCTTTGAGAGGTAAACACCCTGGAGAAAAAAAACTAGTTACTTGTAGTTCAAATTTCAGTAAAAAAAAAAAAAAAAGACATAGTTAAAATATACCAAGTTTTTGATAAACTATGAGGTTGTGCTGAGTAAATAGATGTCCAACATGTCAAGCGTTATGTTTGCATGTGCTTGCAAATTTCACAACAAACTTTGGTACCCTATATTTTCTATAAGCAATGCTTTGACCCCTACAGGTCATCAGTTTTGAGCTTGCCATGAATAATGGGCCTAGAATTATTGATCTCACTCCCGCATGTGTGCCGATATGTAGCATATGTATCACGTTTTCATACGTGGGTGCATTTATACATTCGTGTATGCACACATGGGGAAGGCTAGAAAAAAAATGTTTTTTTTGGGGAGGGGCGCGAGTGTTATGGGTGCTTGAATGTATCTTTTCTTTTCTGACTTTTTTTTTTTTTTTTTTTTTTTTACTTTCACTAAAACCTTATATCACATAGGGGATGAAAAGTCAGGGGAAGTGAATTTTTTACATTCCGAGGGTCAAAGAAAGTGATCATTCATTAGAACGCCAACAGTCCCCTTCTGGAGTGTGTTTGAAGGAACAAAACCACCCTATATACAGCGGTTAGACAAAAATATGTAAGCACTACATGATTTTCAGGTGTGAAAGTGACAACATGTTTCGCGTTGAAAGTGGAAGTGATGTAACATTCTTTGGTTTCCGCTGTGTAATGAGACACCTATGTAACAGGTGGGAAGCCTCACTTTCGTCATTCCCGTGAAGACTGAGATTGAGCTCTGCTGTCATTTTTGCAGTAGTTGTTTTTTTATTCCGGGTCACAATCCTGTGCAAAGTCCTTTTGTGTCTTTCGGTCAGTTGACCATGTCAGCTGCACTTTCGCTTATCAGACAACGTTTTCCCATAACCTTTCATACTGCACCTCGCGACATGGCAAATACATTGGCAACTTCAGTCACACAGACACCAGCAATTGCCCTCTGAAGCTCAGTAAGCTCTGATATGACTCCATATTACTAGCAGCGCACGCAGTGAATGATGAATGTGGGGCGTCCCACTAGGGCTAAAACAACTGAGCGACATAATTGATTATGAAAAAAGTTGTCAACTATTTTCATTATCGATTAGTTGGTCAGCCGGTCAGGTGGCCTGCATACAGAATGCAGTATTTGTTTACATATCACAAAATAAAGTGCAACACACATACAGCTCAGTACACCCTTCATACATGTCCTTCTGAATGAACATCTGAATGGGAATGTGCGAGGAGCAATGCCTTGTGGGGCATGACAAGTAAGTGAGGGGTTCTAAAGGCAGACGTTTTTTTTTTGCCTTGCTTTAGGGGCACTATATACTATACTTTGTGACTTACTATAGGAGCACTCTGAAGGCAGGAGGAGCCAGAAGTGCCATTGGGAGGCCCAAGAAGAGGAGAATCAGGGCTGCTCTGTGCAAAACCATTACACAGAGCAGATAGGTATGACATGTTTGTAGTTAAAAAAAAAAACAAAAAAAACAAGGTTTATAATCACTTTAAGGGCTTCTGTGGAAAGACGATCAGCATCTGAACCCAGAGAGGCAGGAGGCTGATAGACTGGAGATAATATAAGGCATTACAATTAAATATAAAGTGAAAGGTTACCAGTATTGTACTTTATATGTAAAATTATTATATCCAGGCAAAACAGTCTCATCCTTTAGTATTACTTTAATATAAAACGTTTAAATCCCCCAACACACCCTTCATATAGCTTCATGTCTGACTCCCAGCTAAAATACCCTGTATATCCTACCTGACCCTAGGTTCACACCTATGCAGCCATGCTGGCCGCGTTTTGCTTGGGCACGAGAGCCCATTCATTTGAATGGTCTCCTGTGCCCGTGGCACGCAGGGAAGAAGTTCCTGCACTACTTTGGAAAACGCAGCCCGCACAGGAAGCTCGGTTCTCAGTACGGTTGCATTCTCAGTGCGGGCGGCGTGTCATTAGAATTAATGGCACCCGCCCGTGGGTCTGCAATTCTCTGTGCGGGGGGGTGTGGCTGCATGGATTTTCGTACGTCCCGAAGCGGTACCACCTGCACAGATGTGAACCGGGGGTGAGGGCATATTAAAAAAGAAAAAAAAAAGTGTGTGTGTGTAAATAGATACATACATATAGCTATGTTATATAGGATCACTTTCACTGTTTCAATTATATATATAATAGTGATTGTCTGCTGTTTTGTACTATACAGGACTTTTTTTTCGGGCGGGGGTTTACCCTATCATGACAGGTGATAAAAAAAAATGTTTTATTCCCGCCATACATAAATCAATTTCTAGAGTATATTTGTATAAATATTCGTGCGTTACATCAGGTCTGCTTTCAATGTGAGAACATGTTATCCAACTCCTGTGTGTGTGTGTGTGTATATATTATATATATATATTATATATATATTTTATATTATTTTATATATATGTGTGTGTATTTGTGTGTGTTATATTAATTTATTATATATATTATATTATACAGGATTTATATAGTGCCAACAGTTTGCTCAGCACTTTACAATATAATGGGAGACAATACAGCAACAATACAGTTCAATACAAGAGGATTTGATGGGGGCCCTCTCTAGGAGCTTACAATCTAGGAGGGTGGATATATAATTATTATATATATATATATATATATATATATATCTATAGTATATATATATACAGTCATGGCCGAAATTGTTGGCACCCTTGATATTTTTCCTGAAAATCAAGTATTTCACACAAAAAAGGTATTGCATTAACACATGTTTTGGCTATACACATGTTATTTCCCTTTGTATGTATTGGAACAAATTATAAAACAGAGGCAGAAAAGCAAATATGACATAAATGTCACACAAAACCCCAAAAATGGGCTGGACAAAAGTATTGGGCACCCTTAACTTAATATTGGTTGCACACCCTTTGGAAAACATAACTGAAATCAGTCGCTTCCTATAGACCATCAATAAGCTTCTGACACCTCTCACAACCCCGGAATTTTGGACCACTCTTCCTTTGCAAACAGCTCCAGGTCTCTCTTATTGGAAGGACAACCTTTTCCCAACAGCAATTTTAAGATCTTCCAAAGGTGTTCAATGGGATTTAGATATGGGCTCATTGCTGGCCACTTCAGAACTCTCCAGCGCTTTCTTTGCCATCCATTTCTGAGTGCTTTTTGACGTATGTTTGGGGTCATTGTCCTGCTGGAAGACCCAGGATCTTGGGACGCAAACCCAGCTTTCTGACACTGGGCCCTACAGTGCGACCCAAAATCCTTTGGTAATCCTCAGATTCATGATGCCTTGCACACAGTCAAGGCACCCAGTGCCAGAGGCAGCAAAACAACCCCAAAACATCATTGAACCTCCACCATATTTTACCGTAGGTACTGTGTTTTGTTCTTTGTAGGCCTCATTCCGTTTTCCGGTTAAACAGTAGAATGATGTGCTTTACAAACCGAAAAGCTCTATCTTGGTCTCATCTGTCCACAAGACGTTTTTCCCAGAAGGCTTTTGGCTTACTCAAGTACATTTTGGCAAACTGTAGTCTTGCTTTTTTATGTCTCTGTGTCAGCAGTGGGTCCTCCTGGGTCTCCTGCCCATAGCGTTTCAATTTCATTTTAAATGTCGAAGGATAGT